CCCCCAACTGTAATACGTTGGAGACGCGAGTTGATAATTTTAGAATGTGAATAGTGATTACTAAAATGCAGTAAAAGTGTGATAAAAGCTCTGACACCCGCCTCTTTGCCTTAGCTAGCCCGCTTTGCCCCGGTCTCTCCTACACACATACACATTCACGTACAGACGAGGTCTAAAAATTGCATTTTCGGTCATTTTGGATCATACTAGGTCGATATAACACAAAAAATCCAAAGCTTAAATTTGAATGATTATAAAGCTTCCGTTCGCAAGCAAAAACTATGCTGTATTAATATAAAAGCATTTTCCCGCTTGTTTTACATGAATTAACTGAAGTAGTAAACTAATCAGTACGAAAAATGAAGGTCTCTGCAATTGTGAAATTTCAGTGCGGTGTCCCCTTGCATTTGTTTCCTAAACCCATTCATTTGACAGGAGATAATCAAATAATCATTTACCACATCATTAGGATAAAAAAATGGAAGACAATCATGAAGACATTTATGAAACAATTTTGATCTCTATTGGAACAGTATTGAATGGAGAAAATAGCGAGGACGACAAAGATTCTGGGGAAAGACCGATAAGATTCAATAAGCACAAAATTATGGATCGAAATTCCCATTGAAAGACCCCCGACTCTAGTGTCAAGAAGCTCCTTATCAATGTCCAAAAGCCCCTTGCATATGAGACAATACAACAGGCATCTGGAAACTGATACGATTCAGTCTACTTCTACCCCCAAACCATGATTGTCAACATTCGCACGATAAACCCCCTTACCCTCTACCCCTCACAATTTATTTGTTTAATCGCGTCACAACTTGACTGCACGCTTGAAGCTGCTCGGAGTTAGAAACACTCCCATTTACTCGGTATGTTTTAACCGGATAAATCATTTGATTGAAGCCCGTAAATTTGTGCGGCGGTTGCGATTGATTCAGTGGAAGTAATTACGCGACCTGATGATATGATGGAATTAATGCAAATTATTTGAGTAGATTTTTTTTTATATTACTCATGTAGGTTTTTGGTTTTTTAGCTCTTTGAAGTTACCATAATTTATCAAAGACTTTGATTGGAATTGTAGACAGTTTGCAATGTAATTCTCTGTGGTTGTGAGTGGAAAAGTGTAATGAATCCATTTGGAGTTCTATTCAATGATTTTCAGCTATTATTCGACTTTTTGCACCCATATCAGCCACTTAAAGGAGATCTATTATTCTGAAATCGTAATTCTTTCCGCAATGTAATAGAGAAAAGTACTTCGTTAGTTTTTTTTCAAGAAAAAACGTTGAAAACTAGTTTTAATTCAGCGTTTTGTAAAAAAATCAATGATTTCGAATGCTTTATTTGTGAATAACGATTAAAATCTCATTTTTTTAAATTGAATGTAAAAAACTGAGACATTTTACAATACCTAATTGAAAATGAAGAACACTAATAGGTTGCAAATTACAATTCGGATTTTTTTTTCAAATCTATGTCAACCAATTTGCTTGGAAACTTTGGAAGCTGAAGCTATTTCAATCTATATTATTATTTGAATTTCAGTCAATTAAATTGTCAGTCATGGATTCAAATTTTTATTCAAAGAACTTTGGTTCTTATTTTTAATATCAATTAAAACTATTTATATAACATTAAATGTCTCAAATCAGCACAGAAAATTGTGTCATAATTGTCATTTGCAATCCTCAGTGATCATATATTTACGTAGGAAACGAGTTGTATTAAAGAAAAATATCAAACGACTTTTTTCCCAGATGGAGAAATTTCCAAAAACAAATCAGTAGCGAAGAGGTAAAACGGTTTAAGTCGATTTTGACTGTTGGTCAGCTTTCAGGGAGAATCTCGAAATATAAAATAGATAGCCAAATTTTTGTTACAACCTTTTTTGTAGTCCTCAATTCGCCCTATAAAAAAGGTTATTACAAAAATTTCGTATCTCCTTTAGATTCGGAGATATTCCTCGAAAACTCAGCTAAGGGCTCAATAAACTTAAATCGTTTTACAGCTTCGCTGCTGAAATACCTCGTTTCAGCGATTTTTCCAAATTGTCATTTACAATTCAGAATGAAATGAGAGAAGCCGCATGTGACAATTTTGTCAAATAAAAAATTTTCCGACTGATGAGTGCTCTCAGAGAAAAATGTCCGGAAAAATTTTTTTAATCAATAAAGTTTCCTATAAAACCGCTCTTACGATTTCACACTGAATTTCTCCTTTTTGGGAGGCCAAAAATTCAGATGAAAGTCTCAAAAAACTTTTTTACAAAAAATTCAATCGATTATGAAAAATGCTTAGATTTTTCGTGAAGGCACCCATTTTTTCAATAAATTCATACGTCACAATTCCACTACACCCTCACTACATTGAAACCATCTTCAAAATATAAATCCTTAAAACCAAAAGAAACATGAACAAAGATTAACAAAACAAAATCGAACGTTTTCCGCCTACAATTTCAAGTCCATAAAAAAATCTTAATCACATTTTCCAAAATCCTAGAAAAATTCAATGAAGTAATAAATTAATGCTTGACATCCGCATGACGTATAATATGAAAAGCCAATGTCACTACAGTGGAGACCCCCTGGCGACTACAACGTCCAATTGTCCGTTGAAATCCCCCAATATTCATTGCCAAGCACTTTGCTCGATATCACCTACGAGAGCTGTGAAATAATAACATTTCCCGGCTAACGCGCTCCCCAAATGATGTACACTTGAGTCACCTCGCCTTGAGTACCCACCAACGTAATATCCACCCACGTTTCATTAAACCCTCCAATGGAATCCACTCCCCCGTTGTAATATTAAAAGATAATAATAAATCCCCCAGCACGTTAACCTGCTCATGTAAATCCTGATATGTAGCGAGTCAACAAAATTATCATCATTGGCACATTCGAGAGCAATTAATCTATTGTTCAATGATCCTTACACCACGTATTATCATATGATCATTGGGTGATGAACTAAGGTATCACCATTTGTCACATTTCAAAAGCTCGTTTGTCATTCAAAATCTTCATTAATACTGTTTTCCATCGTACTTCTATTGAAAATAATTCACCACGTGATCTCACATTCTTCCAATTTCTGTCGATGTTATATAGTGAATTAATCATGATCATAATGACATGATTCAGTTTTATAGAACGAAATTATTTGCATCATTCGACGAATGTATCGAGAGGTAGCTTCGAAAGAAAATATCAGGAAATATTTTTCACAGATAATTCTACTGATATTTCCTTGTATCTACGGTAGAGTTCCCTTTATTTTCCGCTTCCATTATTTCTTCTTCTTCTATTTCTTGTGGTTAGACTTCTTTGTTAGAAGTATGTACCATATTCTGACGACTCGTTGGTTAAAAAACAAGGACTGTAGATGTCTACTGGAAGGCAGGCGTGTTATACAAATAAGAGGGCATCGCTGTACCATCACTTTCATGTTTTTTTTAATTTTTGAAAGTTAATTGAATTCCACCAACCCATAAAATCGGGCAAAACGGCTCGCTATCTAACCCTTCCACCCGATATGTTCTGCGTTGATGAGAGGAGTCTTGAAAATAATTTTATATTGCAATTATCATTTCATCATTTTTCGTTTGTTAAATTCGATGGGAGTTCCAGAAGACCATTCAGATCATCCAAATAGAAGGCTAGAACCTCCCGCTTCCGTTATTTATTTCCTCTTCTCCTCTGCGCTTGTTCTCCCTCAAAAAAGTTCTCCCACTCCTCATGCATTCTGTATCCTTGTTTCCGGCGTCATGCGCATAGAATTGCGCAATGTCTCAGTAACGGGATGACTGCCACATGGTGACAGTCATGGGTTATATCGCTTCTCTCCCACTACTACGATTCTCCCTACCCACTACCCACCTTCCCTCTCCATTGCGCTCCACAGTGACGGAGTGGGAGAATAGTATATTTCAGGGCGGGTGCCATGGGGTTTATTACTTGTGTAGAGTTGGCGTCCGAGCCGAAGGCGAGGACTGACCAACCACCGAGTAAAAAAAACCCACGGCACTAGTCGTGAACGATATTTTTCCATAGTGATTTTCACTTTTACGAGTTTGGGGAAGGGCCAATCCCAATCCCCGGACGAGGAAAAGTGAAGTTCAGTACGGATAATTCCATTATTCAGATTTCACATGAAATTCAGTCAAAGACACGCCTGGAGCCGGGAAAATGAAGGGAACTCTACTATATTATATTACTTCTAGAGATATTTGTCATTTATTGTTTAAATCCCCTATTACCCTATAATTTTGGAAAAATTTCCGATAGTAGAATGGCTAGAGGATTTTATCAAAAGACATTTTCCGTAGAGCATTCGGTGGTCTACGAACAATATCTTCTGAAATTTTTCCCTAAATCAATGGAATTGCGATTTATTTTCGAAATAATCTGCTTTGCGAGTAGATTAATGCAAATAATTCCTCTCAAATTGCCGAGTTTTTCATTAAGATTATGCAAACGCGATGAAATGTGCCTTAAATATTATGTTCATTCATAAGAATTATCAATACGAATAATTAGAATGTTTTACCGCGTCAGTCGTCGGCGAAAAAATATATTCATCATAATAATTTTGAATAATTAAATTGATGTTTTTTATAGGATAACTATCTCCCACATATTTCCTAACACGTCCCTCCCTACACTTTTACCCTGTCATTCTATCCTTAACGTACGATATTTTAAACGGAGCAATATCGATTTATCATAAATGGCTTGCTAAGCGCGGGAATGCGAGTTAAACTGCTATTTTTATACTCGTGTCTCGTTATAAGGACTGGTTCCCGCATCTGGATTTAATCGCCGCTTATCGTTATCACCGGGCACATTGAATGCAACACTGGGTACGGCTATTGGATCGGCAAAACGCGTTTGTCCCTGAAGTGGTTGAGATTGATGTGATTGGGTGGATGAGGACGGCGGGCCCTCGCTGATAGAGGTCCTAGATACGAGAATACGCCGACCGCGTACCTGATAACGCTGAGGATAACAACGACCACAGCATGACTGTAGGAGGCCACCGCGTGATGCTGTACTGTGGGCTGGTGATGTCAGTGGTGATGGCGAGCCTGGACGCTTTGGTGCTCCATTGTAGGGCACTTCCATCTCCACAAACTCACGGTCCTATAAAAAACATTCGGGTTTTAGTACTCGGAATGAGTGAATTGTATTGGAGTATTTTTTTCATAATTCTGCGGAGTACGGGAGCTGGTGCCTGTACCGCCCACTCGTATTTCTCAGGATTGGCTGAGAATTTTCTTTTTTCTTTTTTTATTATGCAAATATTTGATAACAACAAGTAATTTCAACAGAAATTTTCAATTTTTTTTATTTAAAGCATTTGAATCTATCGGTTCACTTCGCCATATACAAAAAAATACAAAATAATAATAATAATGATACAATACAGATATCATATAACATATATCATAGATACATACATCATTCATGTTTACACATAGTGATTTTTTTTTCTATTTTTATATCTTCAATTTCGAGGATATCAGGAAGGAATCAATCAGCAGAAGGATCTTTTTATTCAAATCTTTCAGAATTTTGCTTATTTTGTACGGCGGGGCAAGGCCCTCCTTGCTCAATCCAGCAAGAAGTTCTGCTCGATGTACCTGATATAAGGGACGGTGCAAGACCACAATCAAAATCTTCCGATTTTCAATTTTCTACCGTGAAAACATCGTTAAAAAAATCCAAATACGAATTCTCAAAATATTTCAACCCCAGAATTTAATATTTTTCAAATTTCCAGTTGGTCCATAATTGAATGGATTGCGAAATGTATGTTAGTTATACACTTCCACATCCATTCGACCTATTCGATAGCAGCAAAATATCTTCATCAGTTATTACTGGCTATTTTATCAGCCTCCGTGTTTGTGGGCAATGCCGCTCAGGATTTCTATAGGGCTGCTAGACTCTGCAGCTAGAGGGCGGTCGAGTGACAGCTTGATTATTTGGGGTAGTCGCTGGCCACTGGAACATCGGGTAAATTCAGGATAATTTATTATTTTTCACGTGAAATCTTCCTCAAAATGGAGCCAAAGAATGGAAACGAAGGATGGGAATAGGAAAAATTATAACAGTTGGTCTGCATTGCTTAAAAAAAACGTCAAAACAAGATCGACGGTAGTGGACGCATGCCGGGCGGTATTACCCTCAAAGTTCGATTCCATCGCTCACTGGCCGATGGCAATTGAATCACATGATTAAATATGTTTAATGCTAATCAGAAATATGACCTCTCCACATCTTCGAGTAAACACCTCAAAGAACCCATTCTGACCGTTTATGACTCCGTGTATATTGCGAGGCTGGAAAAAAGATTCATTTCCCTTAGGTGGTCGGTACATGCACCAGCTCCCCTAGAAGTCATTTATTCATAAATAGGACTGATGGAGATGAGGATTCATTAGGAATTAGTGCTCCAGGAGATGAGGGCACCCAGGGGGATTCATCTAGGTGATGAATGGTTTTTTGGACTGTTTTTGAGGAAAATTTGAAGCCGAAAGGTTTCGATGATTTTTTGTATCAGAACTTGATGATGTTTCCATGAGATAATTTTTATAATTACGCAGATGTGATATTATGAGTTATTTTGTGCATCTTGTGTTAATCATGCACCCATTCTCTTCATACAGTATAATTTTCGGTGTCGCTTGTTAATGAAAGAGAGAAATTAATGAAATGGCGATGTCAGTGGTAATTGGGAGCCTGGACGCTGTGGTGCTCCATTGTAGAGCACTTTCATCTCCACAAACCCACGGTCCTATAAAATTCATTCGGGTTTTAGCACTCGGAACGACTGGATCATATTGGAGTCTTTGTTTCATAATTTTTCAGACTAGAAGTTGTCTACTTAGAATTGGGACAAATTGAGATACACTGAGAAAAACAAAGTTTTTTGAGACTTCGGCGCGATTTCAAAAATCATTTCAGGGGGTTGAAAAGCGCGATTTCAGTGATTTCGATGACTTTAATAATTTCACATAATTTCAAGGTGATTTCGGATTGATTTCATCACAGAGACATGACATCACTGAGACATCTTGGTGTCTGAAATTAAGATATGGACATCAGTTTCGGACACAAGCGGTGTTTGCAATTTTCAGACATCAGTTAGATTTTCAGACACTTTTAAAGATTCAGACGTTTTTTGCCATCTGCCATCTTAAATTCAGATGGTTGTTAGACACCTAGTTTTTCCAGTGGATGAGTCAACTTTTCAGACATGAGAAATATCTTAAAAATTAATGTTTGAATGGACTTTGCCGTCTGAATCAGGCGAGTTATCTTAATAGTGCAATATTTGAATCGCTCATAAATAACTGAATTTCTGACACAGAAAATATCTAAAAATAAATACCTGAAATTGTTCAGACACAAAAAATGTCTACCATCATTTTCAGACAGAAGCGGTGGTTAAAATTTTCAGACATTAGTCAGATTTTGAGACACTTTTGAAAATTCTGATGTTTTTTATCATCTGACATCTTAAATTCAGATAGCTGTCAGACATCTGGTTTTTGTAGTGAATGAAAATCCCCCTGCTCTCCCTAACCGTTTTCCTACAACTCAACCTTCCTGTTTCTCAGATACAAATGTGTACTACAAAATTTTACAAAGTCATTCTCGCAAAGTCGATGTCGGAAAAACCTCAGGATCTTGTTACATAACGAGTGAAGGAATTGTCCTCACTGGACACTGATAACATGAGGAATTCCTCTGGAAACTTGTTTCTAGTTCTCAAGTGGAAAGCTGCCCCACAATTACCTACTGGAGGGGCTAGAGGTTGGGTGGTCGGTGTGTGAAGTGGTGAGAGGGAAAGAGAGGAGTGGATACCTCCAATGTGGTATTTCAAACGAGGTGAGCCACCGAGGTCATTCCCAGGTTTTCCTGATCTCTATATATGACTAAACCACTTTGCTCGTGACCGACGTGTCCAAAGGCTCCACCAGGGTGATATTCAGGGGGGATGGAACGATCCACCCGAGACACACTACTGGAGTCTCAGCTTTTCCCAGGGTTCTTACCGCAAATAGGTCGATTTAATACTGTATTATGCTCCACTCTATTAACTGAGTGTCAATAGATTTTTTCCCGTAATTTATAGTTGAGAAATTGGAGCTTAGAAAAAATCCTAGAAAAATTGAGGGAGCATCGCTGAAGAATTGAATCATTAGTTACTCTTTCGATGGAAGAAAAATCTTTTCGAAATTTAAACGATTGCTCAATTTTTAATGAACAGAAAATGTTTCGCCACGAATAACAATCAAGATTTGATTCTAGACGAGTTGTAAATTCGACCAGTTTGACTACTCAAATCACTCGTGGGAAACGTGACACGCCGAATAGGTTCTTTAGCAACGTATGACTTTCCGTAAACTTCTCAAAGGACGAGATTGTCCATGTTAACTACATCAATCCATTCAGCGAAACCAATACTTCACCATGAATTTGGACACCTGACATTACTGCCATCACATTACATCTGGAAGTCCCTTCATTTGCCACAAACACCGCAGAACAGGGCACCGTATGGTGGTGTTCGTTCGAGTCCAAATCGAGCAACTTCTCCAGGGATATAACCACATTGAACAGAAGAAGAAGAACTTCTCCAGGAAACTTGGTCGCCATATCCAGAGGCGATCTATCCCTCTCTACCTTCAACACCATCTTCTTATAAGGGTGGTGGGGGGNGGGGGGGGGGGGGGGGGGGGGGCAGAGAGCACTTTCCGCTCGACTCTCGCCCCATTGTACAGATGGCATTTAATGACCCAAATCTAGCCGCCCAGAAACTCTTAACGACAGAGTTGGAAGTGATGAGTATGAACTTCGATGGGTGAATGGGGGTGCGTGTTCAAAGTTTCTTTAACAAATAATAAGGGATGTTTTTTCAGCTGAAAGAATTTACTTTTCATTATTTCATATGGGATTTATACGGAGACCGAAAGTTTCTAGTCTTCAGCACAGAGTAAAAATTTTGGATTTTCCGGGACGAAAATGATGAAAAGTATTTCAATGCTTCATAAAATCGTGAGCGTGATATAAAATTTTGTCCAATTCCAATTTTTGAGCTCAATTTTGTTACGAATATATATCCTCAAACGAATAAAAACTCCTGATAATTCCATTTGAAATGAAAAATCAAACGTAAAACTCTTCCGAACGTTGAAAAGCCCTCAATATGCACAATCCTCACTGTTGACGTGTGAAAATCCTCCCATTATTGTAACTGTTTCAACCGGAACGTCGCGAAAGTATCGGGGGAATTCAAAAACGTGCCTCGTGCCAAAATGACATCGTTACCAGCAGCCACCGTCCCCATGGGACAATAAGAAAAGAATACAACAATTTGAATGCAGGTAGGAATGAGTGCTATTCACTCGAATAGAAAACTAGAATCGATATTGCGCAATATGAATTCCAAATTCGCCTAGACCTCGATGTTTTTTACTCCTTCTCTAGTTCCCTCTTCTCGTATTATTCTCTGCATTCTCTAATACCACCTGCCGTTTTCACGCCTCTTCCATCGAATTTGTCATGGTACGAATGAGCTGATCGGCAAATAGTATTGGTTTCGTTTCATCTGGGCCAAACACACACGTGGACAGTCTCGGGATTTTTATATTTTCATTTAAAATGGAAATATTCGAATAAGTCAATCCTGATGGCTCCAATCGCGTCATCAACGCTATCATACTAAAAATACGTTCAATCAATTTAGTGACGAGGACGAAGAAATGGGGGAAAATGAAATGGGGGAGTAACGTACAACGAAGAAACAACACGATGGAGTTGGCGTCCGAGCCGAAGGCTGGCCAATTACGCGAGTAAAAAAAACCCATGGCACTAGGCGTGAACGATATTTTTCCGTAGTGATTTTCAGTTTTACGCGTTTAGGAAAAGTGAAGATCAGTACGGAAAATTTGTTTTACTGTCATTACACGGAGAGAAAAGATTGTTAAAAATTATTTAGAAAATCGTGACAAATTTTACTATACGAATGGTAATCGTGGAACGAAATGTAACTCATTGAAAAAATACTGGTTTTTAGTGGATATTTTACCATGTTCTCAGAAAACAAACACATCTATATGGGCGCAAATATTAAAATGAAGGGAATTCAGCTATTTTATGTTTTAAAAAGTATGCTCACGCAATAAATAATGCAAATTGTTTATTGATACGACGGGAATATAAAGTAAAATTTTAGAAATTATCTTTGATTATTTTAATTTCCACAAGAAATTTTATAGCGGAAAATTGATTGTTTTTGTATAATTTATGAAAAAAGGTCGTGACGAATAATATAGAAACAATCAATTTTTCATCTTAAAACTAGCTTGTTGAAATCGTTACAAATTTGTCAGTATTTATATTTTTTTACAGAAATCGATTTTCCCCGGAAAAAACGTTTTCGAGTGGTGAATCAATTTCCATGGTTTCGTCGCAATAAGGGAATTGTTAAAAAAGGTAATTTTATCAAAAATTGTCATTTAAATAGCGCAGATTATCCATGACTTTTTTTTTCAAATTTATCTCACGTAATTTGATTGACAAATTTGATGATTAAAAACTGCCAAATCTGTAGTTTGGCCCATGCGAAACTATAAAAGTTGCTTAGATATTCTCACCTATTATCAAATGAAAGTGATTGAGAATCGAATTTGAGAAAGCGTCGAACATAATTCATTTGTCAACTATGAATAAAAAATTTTCCCATAGTACAGTCTCCATTCTCCATGGAATCCGTTCATGAACTTATATTTTTAGACCTGGCCGATTTCGGGGATTCCGTGACTGATTCACATTCGCTGCGTCACTAGGCGGCTATTGTATATGCTACGCACAATTAAATATACATAACTAAATTGTTCATTTATATTGCAAAGCTGGAGAAAAATGGTTGATTGATGCGCAGTGTGGATATTGTGGGAGTCAAAAAATAAACTTGACCCCTTGTTTGTGGGACAACGGAAGTTCGTTAGGATTCAGATCACGAGGTATAAACTGGTGATTATTATAGCTACAAGCGATATACAGACTACAAATGCCGTTAATTATTGAAACGGAAATATCAGGATATCAGTCGTGAATTTCGGAAGTATTTTGCATTTGCGTCAATGTAGTCAAACAGAATTTTTATTCATGTGTTTTATTTTATGTGAACATAGTAATCCTGGACCCAAACTGGAAAAACATTAAAATTTGATCTATTTTAACGGAATTTTTGCGATGTGAAAATTCTTTTTTACTAGTTAACATAGTAATTTTGAATAAAAGAAACTTTATAAAATGCGCATACGAAGAAACGATATTTAAAAGTGTCTTAAGCGCTTTTCATTAAAGGCATTTTTACTACTGAATCAGCAAAAAATTACTCAAATCGTATGAATTTTTACTATATTACATCGTAATTGTTTTTACGTTTTAAAATTGTGAGTTATACTCTCGCGTCTCCTACATTTCCCAAATTACTATGTTGACTAGTAAAAACTGCAGCGGGCATATGGATCGTCGATCATTTCCATTTCTTGGAATCTCCTTCCTCTGTCGACAACGTAATTGCCGAGTGATGAGTGAGTGACCGGGACGCCTAAGTAAAGGAAAATCCTGCAGACACGACCAGCAAAAAATGAAAATCCTCCCATTTCCATAGGCAATTGTTATGAAGTTTCCAACATCTAACAACTTTTATTTAAAGCTGATCAACTTTTTTTCTCTGTGTGATGCTTGAGAAAAAAACGCTCTCCCTTCTCCTCTTCCACGAATATTCGTGTTGAAAGAGGGGAAAGGGGAATATTTTGTTCACGAAAGTAAAAAATCATATTTATGGTCATAAATTTTACTAGTGATAAATGTAATTTTACTTTCTGAGTTATCACTTTCTACTTGCAGTTTTTACCATGATTCACAGTAATTTTTCTGATGAACTCCATTATATTCTAATTCCGTCATCAGTATTTTTTCATCTGCCGCGTCGCAATTTTTCATTTGTCCTCAAAATTATTATGTTAAACAGTAAATTTTCGTGTTTGGCGAGAATGATCCTACGTCCACTTTTTTATATAAAAAATTACTGTTCCCATAGTAAAAACTACTTTTACATTCTTCCCGTGTATAAGATGTCTGAAACATATAAAACATGGATAGAGATCTCATCATTCTTTAAGGCCTGTGATGAAAGTTTCATTCCCAGGAACGAAGAGATTCAGATAATTTATAAAAAGAATTTTTTTACAATAAAAAAGGTTCTCTACGAATTCCCGACCCCTCAAGCTTCTCCATTCCGGAGATATTTGCCGAATGATCTCGATATCATAATTCAGCTCATCCATTATGACCTCTTCCCCACAGAATCAAATGTCGAACGGGAAAGAAAACGATACAAATCAAAGAATTCTATCCAACCGATCATTACTACCACCACCACCTAACGCAGACAAGCTGCTCCCCCTCAGCAAACCCTCCTAATGATCCATCCGAGTTCGATGACGCACTGCAAACAACGTTAGTTACACTTAGCAAACAACCATAACCCAGCAAGACAATATACCGCGTGGACAGCAAGCTGGCCAGGACAATGTTCCTCAAATAATACATCACTGCATGATACCTCGAAGTCACATTAACCGAATTTCCTCAGAATCAGCCAATACCGAGGAAGGAAAACTAGATTACCAACGGCTACCTACACAGTGGACCGTCCTATTGTCCTTGAGTGCGACGCCAAGAACAATGATAACAATCATGGGCAGCAATAAGCATCATGCACCAGAGGACACTTCAAATTGACTGCAGGAACGTTCTTCCACTGACAAACATAGAGTACAATTAAACGTCTGCACAAACACGAGGCTAATGTTTCCGCCGGATTCTGATACAAAACATCAAGGTATGTGAGAGTTTGCTGTTTGTGCCAGGGAAATTGCTGGGATAACTGGAGGAACTCGTATCACTCGGGGATACTTTGACAAGGTGACAAACATGACAACCTCCTTCAGGGAAGTTCCTGAAAAGTAATTTACAACAATACTTACCGTAGTTTTCTCCAGACACCGGAGGAGATGATGATGCTGCAGTTCGAATATGTCTTCCTCTTTGTAATCGTCTGTTGGCATTCCACTCTCCGCCGCTGCGATTCTCGCCTCTGCTGCTTTCTTTTTGCTGACAAAGGCTGCACCACTCGATGCTTTGGCGATCCTAATCCTCGCGAGTCGCGCTTTCTGGAAAATTAAAAGGGAAAGAATTATGAGAGATGTACATCAAGAGGGATTCGAATGGATTTGATTGTATGATGCTGGAGTCATAGTAAACGATGAGGATGTCTGGCTCAAATTTTCGTGGTTGGGTGTTTAACGGCTGCAATTGATATTGCGAAGTCTTTGTAATGGTTCGACTTAATGAATGGTAATCAAATGCTTCCATGGTGGTTTAACGCCCTATTTGCGACATTGATTCAATTGAGCTTAAAGTCATCTTATTGTTTTTTATTTTCAACGAAATTCGTTGCAAGTTCGTGGAAATTCGTTGCAAGTTCGTGGAACTTCTACCTGGCAATCGCCCGAAGGCCTTTAGCCAACGTCTTCTCATTTCGTCGATGGAGTCGAAGGTGGGATGGAGCTCTCTAAAGCTCGAAAGTTATAGATATTGTTGTCTTCATATCTAATGAATGTATTCTCATTCTGAATCGGTTCCATTAACTTGAATTGATCTTTTTGAAATCAATTACAGGTCGAGTTGCTGAGGTGATTCAGGAAAAACTCGACTTGACTCATCACCCTTCATCATACACATAATGAATCCGTAACTTGACTTCATTGTTTATAGTCATTCTACTTTAATTGAATAGACTACACTCATAGATTTCAATCAAGATAATGAGATGAAGATGATGGATTTTGTTACTAGGTTTAGGAAAATTTTCTGAGTACAGGAAAGCTTCCAAGTTCATAGGAGTACTTTACAAGTACCCCACTAGAGTTTGAATTCGTGTGCCTATGAATTTCTAATTTGTGCATTGCTAATTAATATTTGAAGTCCTCATATAGAGGTCACGAAAGTAAGTGGATAGCATATAACATCAATGTTTCATTATAATTCATACCTTACGAATATCATAGGTCCCGAATAGAGTAACCGAATGAGTAAAATAGATCATTAATGAACCGGTCAAGTACAATATTTATCAGGTAAGTTTCAGTAATGTCTTTCAAGACCGTGTATCATAAAGATAATTGACAAAGTAACAGTAACAAAAACAAGAGCTAGGTTTAAATTATTGCTACTGATTATTAAGATCTGATTTCCTACAAAAGTAGCAATTTTAAGGCTCTCCGGGGATATCTCTTGGGCGCTCCTGCTGTGGTACATCCACTGAGGTGATTTATCACCCCAACCTCATTGTTATATTCACCCCGAATCAGAAATTCCACATCGAAGTGTTACATCTTCATTGTTTTCTCTCCTGAATAAATTTATACCTGTAGCACACACACACACACACGCGCGCGCACGCACACATACATACAGACATGTCTCCAAAAACGTTTCAGGATGATTCAAGAGGCCGAGAAATGTGGAGAAATCATGGAAATTCCAAATTCGATTTTCGGGGTAATTACAATAACTTCCTCCCTTCAGGTCGGGAAGTTAATTATGTGACGGAATTTGTTTTTCTTTCTTAAAAATCGGCACATACATACACACATTTTCTAAAAACATCATATCTTCAAGTTTCATGACATTCTACATCGTTTCCAGGAAAAATTAGAAGATCGTAGAAATCCATTATTACAAAGCTTCCATTCAGAAGCACAAGTAATAACCGGAATCCTGACGAGGCCTAAATTATTCAGCGTGTCAGGTTGCTATAATTTAGTGTGTAGTTTTACGAGGAAGGAAGGGGTTAGTTCATCCGTCGATAAACCAACAGTTTGTCCATGTCCTAAGGAAGGGGTCTGCAATCGAAATTGTCGTGGGCAGGTTTATCGGCTATAATTCTTGGCCATGGAGCAATTAACGTCCACAGAAGTGGTGTAGGTATAAGTCAGTGGAGTTTTCTAGGGGTCTGTGTCATGTTGTTGGGGGCAATTGAGTGTTCGGTAATTGAACGGACTGAAATTGGAGAGGTTGAACATGTTCGAGAGAACTTATTGAATCTTCATCTACAACTAAACTTTTCAATAGTTAATTGCCGAATTGTCTCAGGAATCTTTTCATTATCTTTGCTAATTCCGCTTGATGTCAAATAACACGAAAATTAATTACCACAAACATAGCCTTTGTGAATAATATGGGGCATTTTCTCAGCAAATTAGAGAGTTAGGAATGATTCTTTCTGGTGAAAACCATATTGCTTGATGATTTCTGATGCCTCGAATAATTTGGCAGAAATATTCCATAGAAACCTGATAACGCTTTGAACTCTGGAAGCTTTGAATGAGTAATTTGAGGACAAGAAGTCAAAACTTATTTTCTTCTACAAAATTTCCTCATCTTTGAAAGAGGCCTGATGTCATTATTTAGAAAACTGCTTGAATTTCCAGGTAATTAACTGATATCAACTTCACAAATCATCTACTCAACTTTGTCTCAATACTTTACTTCTAAATTATGATCAATATCGTAACTTCCAGCAGAAAGAGACCCTCCAGCAATAAAAGGGAAACATTGAATTCCTGGAGTTCGTTCAATTCCTCGAATAATGATGAAATTACAAATTGCAATAACTTGCCTAGAGGTTTATGTAGTGTCCAAACTCAATAATTTAATTTTCACGTACCAACTCACGAGTGCATACTGTTATATAGTTATAAAGGATGAGACGGGGAATGGACGGGGAAGGGGTGGTGGTGGCGGTGAGTCTCCGGAGTATATTTGAGCGTGAGAGGTGTAAATGCGAAACTACCTATATGTATTAGCCTCCCAGGCACAAAATTTTCGAGCGAGCTAGGAGGCCGTTTATTATTCATCTCATCGTATACAACAGGAGGTTTATATACGAGTAACACCGGGGGAAAGAAACTCACCAGCGCTCACGGCTCACACTGTTATCCAGGGTTGTTTTCTTTTCGAGAAGGATTTTTTCGGCTGCGGTTTATTTTTCCACTCATTCTCGTGTTTCTCGACTCTTCTGCAACATCCATCCAGTTCCATCAATTCCAAGGTGGGGAGGAATTGAATAAACCCAGTGGATGAGTAATATATTTTTTTTTATCAACGTCTTTTAATTTGGCCTAATTTAATTTTTAAATTGTGCTCCGCCTCCTCCACTATCAAACACCAAATACACAAAAGAAAAAATGGAAAAACAAAAATCATTCCATTTTTTTTTCATTTGTTTCTCATGATAAAATCCAAGAAAAAAAATTAGAAATACCATATTTATGAATTCTTACAAAAAAAAATCCGACACGATGAGTTACATCGGAAAATTATATCCATAAAATTTTTTCAAGACTGAAAAATTTCTATAAAAAATTCGAGTGGGTTGTTGGTCGCTCGCTCCCATTGCCAGTAGGTTGGAGTGGGTGTGACCCATTGCGGGTTGAACTAATAACCTCCCGCTCAATTTCCTTTCCTTCATTTATTAGAATTAGATTTTTCTATACAACTTATTCTATTGTGATATTTCCCATTAAATTTTCTCGGCTCAAATTTTCTAAGTTTTTTGTTTTATTTTCTTAATTAAAAAAACTGAAAAATAGAATGAAAAAAAAAGTAACGATTCATTCGTAACTGTCTGATAGACCGCGGGGTACGGTAACCGTGCGTTTTCGGCGGGGTTTGGTGTAAAGGTTAATTTTTAATTTGGCACTGAAAACACAAGATTATATTCTAAGCGCGGCATATTGATGAGACAAACAACAGATTAATTGAATTACTTCCGAACTAACTAAAAATTGATAACCGTGTTGACTTCAAGGAATTCACACTGTAAAGTATGTTCTACAAGGAATTGAATTGTAATTATGATTAAAATCTTATTCAGTGAGCGCAAGAAATAGAACATGAGTAAATCAATTATTATAATATGAAAATTGAACAGCTGATAAGCTGGGGCAGATGGGACGGATATCCTTATCCGTCGTGTTGATTTTTGCAAGGAGAATGATTATAAACAATTCATTGAAAAAAGGAATATCAAATCAGACAGGGAAAGGGGTTAATGAAAGGGCATCAAAATTGTGAATTTTCCAGATGAATTAATGGATTTCTGGATAATTGCGAAAAGAATCCTGTTTTCTTGAGGAATACATACTCAATACAAACCTGAAAATCAATAGAAGATTTGAATATTAAGGGGTCTCCACGTGAAAATGATCAACTGTGAAGATAATTCCATCAACAGATGCTGACTCTCGGCTTGAATTTTGCTATCTCTTCATTTTCATTCAGTGAATTTATCTACGTTATAAAGAGGATTTTCTCGGATTGTAAACTGGGTTTGTAAACGTATTTCATTGAGATATATCGAAGTTTAAAGTCATTCAATTGAGCAATTTGCTGAGGCATGCAGAAATTCTGGATGTGCTGTGTAAACCCGCTGTGGAAAACCTCTTAATCCGCTTGTTTACGTGGAATTTTCGTGCACATCGTTGGGTTATATCTGTGGTACAACGTGTGCACCAACTGGCAAGAGCAAATAATCGAAATGCCCAGACCGGGGTCTTTACATATACAGTGGCCTGGAGATTCTGACGCAATTGTTTGATATTAGATATACGTTTGTGAAAGAATAATCATGGAGCAGGAAGTGGATACTTATTATCGATCAACAATCGTAAATTTGTAATCAAACGGGAATCCCTGGAATACATTCAATGACACGGCTATTGCGAGCACTCAATTGAATTAATGAATTCAATGGTTCATTCTGGGGATCTTTGATATGTAAATTCCCGTGGGATTGAATCGAAATGTTCAGGATGAGTGGATATTTGTTTGTACGTATTATGAGATATAATACCGTTACACCTGTTCGGTCGTTAACATTATTTAAATTTAAGACGACCTTTTAAATTTCTGGGTTTTTCCCTAACTACATTTTAAATCATTCTTAATCCCTTTTAGTTGAATTTTCTCACGTAGAAATCGTAAAATATCCTAATTTGTACCGTTTTGAAACCCTTGACAATTGCTCTGTACAAAAAATTATTTCCTTTCGCAAAATTCCCTAGCAGAAATGCTTTCCCCAAAAACACATGTACATCATAAAAGCTAC